ATATATATATATATATATTTGAAATATGTATGTAAATCTCAAAAAAAATCTAATGAAAATATTTCGATGACAGATTCGGCTGAATGTAAAAAATTATTTTAGAAGTAATCTTCTATGTTCTTACATAAAACTTTAAATTAATATAATTAATTTAAAAAATGCTCATTTTTGCGTGATTCTTTTAGTTTTATTATTGTTTCAAGTAGCACAATGAGAAGGTTGCCATTATTGAAAATGTTACGTCTCGTAGGATAATTAAAGCAAAGAGAATTAGATAGTGAATTCTTTAATCTTCGTAGCAGTGGATGATGCTATACGAAACACATTCCACGTAGAAAATACCTGGTGACTGTAGAGAGAGGGATTGAGTTCCGTTATGTGCCGTATAATGAGGACCCGGTGTACCGACAAAGTAACTATTTTTTTTACTGCAATAGGTTCTCATTAAATTATTCAAGCTACTTAGAAGGAGAACACATTTTACTTGTAGATCGTTTCTGAGAATGCACACAGTGGGAATGTGGATTTAATGTGTATTTTGTTTTTGAATGGAATTAATTTTCTATTTAATCTTCGAGTCTATCGTTTTCATTTAATCGACAATTGAAAATTGAAGAAATAATTATTAATCTTAGTATATTCTAATATAGAAAAGAATTGTAAAAAAGTATATGATTTTTGTATCGCGATACAAATCATTTTCAAATATTTTATTTATTACAATTAACTAAATAGCCGAAGAAATAGTTTCCGCAATGATTAAATGTAAAAATATTATCAAGACGCTTTCAAATAAAAATAATCAAGAAGATAATGCTGTAAGGCTGTCTCGATGTTGCAGTAAAAAACACCTGGAGGCCATCTACACCTGGTTGTTCATAGAGCTTCTTTCATCGCATTTCGGCGTAATATTTCGAGAGGGACAGAGACAGCACAATGAACTAACTGTACGTAGTCCTGGGAACGCATCGATATGCACTTCAGCTTCTTATTGATTTGCTGAAATAATGCTTTAGCATCTTTGTTTCATGTTGCAAGTAAATTCTTGCGGATTATTTGTAAGATTGAAGCAATTAAACTTGAGATATGCGATTTTGCGATACATCGCCGCGATTTTCATTTCTTGAATCGTAGTGTGATATGTATCTGGCTTTTAATCACAAAATCGCAATACAATTTAAAATCGTGAGATTAATATTTGCTACAAACAATTAAACTAACGCACAATAAAAAAGAGCTGATATAATTTTTTATTTCGACAGAGATTTTTTTCTTTGAAAATATATTCCAAACCCATTTTAATAGGTATTTTTTAATGTTATTATATTTAAAAAAATGCTTTTATGTTTGTTGCGTTCTAACAATTATTTTTTATTATTTAGCTGTCATTGAACTTATCAAAGATTTTTAATATAACAAAAATGAACAGTTGAAATTTACAAATGTGTAATATATACATATAAAAATCACGATAATATATCGCAATTACTGCGACTTTTAAGAAAGATCGTAATTACGATGCACAATTTTGAAAATCGTACGTTTCTAACTAAAACATGGTGTTATTCACAAAATATCACTAAAAAATATAAAACTTAGCCAAGTATATCTCACGAAAAATGGAGAGCCAGGTAGAATATCAGTGAGCACATTGAGTTGAGGTGCGATAAAAAATACATCCGTATATACTGTACGTAGCATAGAGCAGAAAATTCATTTCGTGAAGTAAAAAAAAACCATCTGGATTATCCGCCCGCACTCACTTCTGGTGTGACCTTGCACCTATCTCGCCAACATATACACCGATTTAACACGAGGCCGAGTGTGCTCATTGGCACTGCCGGTGTTTTCCTATGCAACGTACGCGAATAGGACGCGGTTAGTGGTTCCTTTATTTTCGTTCCAGCGCGGACCGAACAATGGGGGATCTAAATTGGGCAAAAACCAGTCCGGCGTCTAGTTTGGTGAGGTCGGAGGCATTCTGGTGCACAGTGGGACCAGGAGCAGCGCCAGGGGGTTAGTACAAGAGGCAGGAAAGGAGATGAAAAGAGATGAAGGGAGAAGGAAAAGGAGAGGGAGGCACGTCGATAGTCTCACAATGCAACCAAGTCGCACAAAGCAACCGGGTAGGATCTGCGATCGATTCAGTCGAGACTGTTCTGAATGTCTTCGGAACTCGTGAGCGACCGGCTTTGTGGATAAAAGTGATAATTAACACAGCGACAGTGAAAGAATGTTTCATGCCACCCGGTTAGTTCGTTGCACCCTCAGTCAGTTATGACACACGAAATTTGTCTTATTTTTTTACCTTTTCTTCCCGCTTTTTTTTGTACCCGTGAAATTGTTTCCCAATATGAGGTTCACGGCATCGTTTTTTTTCGGCTCACAGCTCGCGCCAATGCAGCTGTTCCTGGAAGAATATACTATCCGGATTGGTCGACGTTTAGGGATGGACGTGTCGGAATGTGGATCTTTTCGGAAGGAGGATGCGCCGGACGAGCGTGTGAGCTATGTGTGTCGGAAACAGTAGATATCTTCACGACAAAGATTATTTGTCAAATTGATTATGTTAGAAATGATAAGCAATTTACAAAATTAATATGTTATTT